CCTCAGATTGCGATAAATGCTGCCGTCGAAGCGTTTAAATTCGCCAAAATCTAACGCTGAGAGCACATAACAGCGAGGCGTACGGCGACTGAATGGAAAGGAGTCAAAAAAAGATCCATCGGAAAGACGAGCACATGGCCTGCTCACATACTCGCATGTTCGTCACATGTCTTATCACATGTCTTAGCATTAAACTGTACCAGTTTACTGGCCGTGACATGCCCCTGCAAAAATCAAGCGGGTTGGCCATTTTGGTGTCCTTACAGGAATGTGGTTTTTCGGCCACACTGAAAAGCCACAGGTCAAAATTAGGTTTGCGTTCCACTTCGTCAAACGCAATTATATGGAGAAGAGTTTTTTACTGGGAACTAAACCACTCGTAGATTCCATNCCTTTTGCTTTTGTTGAATTGGTTTCTCCATATAATAAAAAGAACATTACACGTTGGCTCGAAGATATGAATTTTATGTTCTCGTGGCAAGAACAATATGCCTTCAGTTCAGGGGTAACCTATTTACAAAGTAGACTATCCAATCAGAGCAAAGTTCGTAATTGTTAATGTAGATACGGCGGCAAAATTTCCGCCAAAATTCGGTGCATCGCAACAAAATGTGGCATTTGAAACATTTCAATTGCTGCCTTGTACGAAAGTGGGGAATTACGATTGAAACTCTCGGTTTTCGTTGTCATATTACACAAGAAAACTACAAACTAGACTTCTAATCGGATAGTGATAGTGAAAAAATATATATATATTTCCGGGGTAGAGACACCGCCGCACCACGCGATTTGTCCACCAATCCAATATTTTAAGTCGAAGGAAGCAGTTAGTTTTGTTTAGTTCAACAAAGAAATGGTTCTGTTTTCCGTTTCAGAGTGATTTATTAACATAGTGAGTATGAATGCTATCAGGGTAACGCTTTTAAGTCACAAGGTAAACATGTTCAGCAAAACTAAGTTGTTGAAACTTAATTTAATTTCGTGTCGAGGAAACAAAAGGAACTTAAGAGTGTGTCCACGAGAAAACCAGGCAAGACCAGGCAGGAGGTGATACAGCTCAAATCACCGATTTCAGTCAAACTTGGCACAAATGTTGGTTTGGTGAGAAAATGATTGTGGCAAAAAACGTAGGTCAAAATATTTGATTCCCTTTAAGCTAGGGAGACCCCCTGCAAAAAATGGCCATTTGACACTGATGTGTACATATTTAATTAGCCATTGTGTCATTATGAAATGACACAATGTCTCTTTACATCTTTTATTTAATATACTTATTCAATAACCTCAAAGAATTGTTGTTGCTTCATTTCAGACTATTTGTCACTACTGCATTATCTAGACAGTTCATCTTCAAAACTTTCATATCCTGTTCACATCCTGGCTGATAAAGCTTCTGTGGGTAAGATTAAATTCTTTGGCTGACGATATTCTCCCAACACACCTTGGCATGTTACTTTCAGTTTTAGCTTGTATCTCTGAATAAAGAACAAATTAATTTGATCATAAACCAGTTCTGCTATCAGCGAGTAGCAATAATGAAGAGCAGTTAACCAACATGGTCTGTGTATATGTTGTAGATCAAAATGAAGTTCAGGTTAAAATGATTTTAACCTAGTTTGATTGTCAATTACGTTTGTCTTCTGACCCTAATTATTCATGATCCATGAAGAATTAGGGTTAAGAGACAAAGGAATTTCATTTTAACTTGTATTTAATTTTGACCTACAACATATACATCACAGCAAAACATTTGCTCTCATAAGTGGGAATCAATAAGGGCTTTTCATGGTAGTTGATAAATAAAGCTTTTTTTTATATACCAAACTACACTCGCTAGAGTCGGGGATAACGTGGCTGACATAGCAAGGCAAATAAATGCCAGTTTTAGCATCCATCAGACATTTGAAATTATTTTAAAAAAGTCTGTGTCTGGCTAAATTGGCCCACAACACTGGAGAATAACATCACTTGACGCAATGCTAGTCTTGCACAGGTTACTCACCAACATTTTATTTGGCTCCCCAAACAGTTCCCTGCTTTTTTGGGTGGGGGGGAGGGGGAAGGGGAGGGAGGGGGTACTCCAGTATAAAAAAGACAGGGGTGCTCGTTGTACCTTTTTGGAGTTAAAAATGCGGTTTTGGTAACTCTTAGGGTGTTCATTGTCAAAAAGTCCACAGCAGGAGCTTCTACAGTATCTGTCAAAAAAAAAAAAAAATGACAGGACATAATGTTTTGTTTTAGAATTGGTACCTCTTAGGGAAAAAAGAATTCAAGCCACGCCCAAAAAGCAGGATCTTGGTACCTCTTAGGGGTTGTTTTCAAAATTTCCAACGAGCACCCTCATCCTTTTTATGTGGGATTCCCTTCCCCCCCTCCCGCTGGGGACATGTAGTGGAATCATGGGACAACAACGTCACGTGATTACGGAACACATGGAAGAACGTGGAGCGAATGAGTCTTGCATCATGTCAGTACTTTCTACTGAGATCACTGTTTAGTTACATATAAAGTTTGCGTTGCAACATTCTCGCCTCTTCCTACAAGTGGTGGAAAATCTAAATTACGTCGAATATGGGAACAACAATAACAGAACTACAAGGAGTAGTGGCTAGACTTGTCAGCGTTGTTAAAGATTTGACTACAAATGTTAATCATGTTACTCAAACCGACGGTGACTTGGCCCTAGCGGTTCCTACAGCTCCTAATCTGGTTAATACACAAGACCTTCGGATGCCTTCCTTGCAGCTTCCTTCTTTTTGTCAAGATAGTGTGGTACAAGACGACATTTTCAAGATCTGCGTTGTCGATTGCTAAAACTACAGGAGGCTATGGAAGGAAAAGCGGCAGAAGAAAAGCCTAACATTTGTATCGAAAGGTTACGTGCAGAATTCGGCGAATCCAATACTAGTACATGGAGTACTAGACTTGAACGGATACCAAAATGTTTTATATTCTTAGTCACTGCAAGGTGTGTGGTCAATATCATGAAAGCCAGACCCGATCAATGCCTTGAATCAAACCAGCAAAAAAAAATTATCTACAGTTTCCCTAAAGCTGTATGCATCAAACCTCAAGAATAACAGGCTAAGTTTGAAGAGCATAGCAATTTTGGATTCAACATAAAAATAACAGCCATTAATCATTCTTCGCTTCAAACAGCATATTTGAACATTTGCCCGTCTAAAATTAATTAGTAATTTGTTAGAATTACTGCAGCTAGATATTGTCATTATGCAGTGCATTATGATATCAAAGAAAAACGTAGCTTGTACAGTTGCAAGAGAGCACTTTGCACTTTATTAAAAGAAATGATCCCTTCAATAACTTCTGCGGAACGATGTTGGAAACATTCCATAATCGGAAACATGGAAACAACTGACTATTGCAAGGAGAGTATTTTAACAATAATTTAAAAGAAATAAACAAAGCTTTTTGAAATCGAACGGTAAAATTTTACCTATTTTCATCACTAGCGAGTCATGAATCATCACCACGATTTATAAAAAAAAAAAAGAAAAGAACACACTTCGAATCAAGGGAAAAGACCTTTGTTCTCGGTGGCTAACGAAGCCGAAGGGTATTCACCTGGTGTACACTATTGTGATTCTCCATCGCGTGATTCCAGCTTACCTGCAAGTGCAAGTCCGTGTCGATCCGTTGAGACATCAAAACTGACCCAAAGTTTCCTACTCCAAACACTAATTTCTACGGAAACTGTAAATTTTATAACGCCAAAAACATGTTAAAAGTAGGATTTCCATCGAAAGACTGCAAAAGAAGCGATACTTTGAACGCAAAGTGGTTATTTCAGTGTCCCCAAGAGATCCTCCTCGCACGATGCCGACCACGAGCAAATGATCTGAAACGAAACTAATACCAGCGTGCATCGCGGTCGTAGCACACCCACCACCTGCGGTTGTTATGTATGGGAATATTGCTGGCCATTATCCATAGTTGTGCAATTGCTGAGTTATTGTTTGTCCACCAATCACATTAAACCACGCGGTCCGAATTGTAGATCCAACACGGCGTCTGTGTCATGAATATGTAACAGCGCTCAACTAAGCTATTGAGATGAAAACTTTACACCCTAGGCAACAGTGTCTGTTAGTGTTGGTGTCTGGTGGCGAGGAGACTTCGCTTGGTTGTGACAACAGGAGAAAAAGGTAACCCATTTATTTTTTAATTCTTTTATCTATTTTAGGGGTATGGAATGGTCTTTGCGAACAGTGCGTTTACTTTTGCGAGCGCGAGCAGTGATCAAATTTGTCTTGTGAGCAGCGAGCACTTAAAAAAATGCAGATGGCGAGCAGCGAGCACTTCGTAAATTTTCCGTTAGCCAAGTAATCTGGCTGAGTCCGTTCAACCTATCCCAACAGCTTACAGTCAGTTATGCCTTGTTGGATGTGAAATTACGTCAAGTAACTTCGCGTGAGCTTCAGTGCGGTATACTAGGTGGACGCTCAAGAAGATCCAAAGCTTTCTAATCCGACGTTGTGAACACATCACGAGAAGAAGCTTAAAAGTTATCAGACGTAAAAGTGTTGTGACATGGAAGGTTGTTTTGGTTATATGTGAACAACGTGGCATTTAGTCTAACAAGCATTTCGAACTTCGGTTTCGAGATTGGCAAACTGGTTTCCCGCTGACTGACTGAAAAAAATCCAGTCAGACGAGCCTCACGGTGGAGCAAATCATCTGCATCAAAACAACATTTCATATCGCTTGGCAATTCTAAAGGTGGAAATTCTATAATAATTTCAGACTTCCGGCTATCTTAACGTTTTGTATCGAATTGACTTCAGTTTGTATCGAATCGACTTTGGATGTATATCCAATCGACTTCGACTTGTATCGAAACGACTTCGCATCGAAACGACCAGACACCCCTACAACACTTTTCGCCGACGCTAAAAGGCTACTAACCTCATGTTTCTTCATCATGTTTTCCAGGAGGGAAACTTTGAAGTTGTAGCCAGTTGTGTAACGCTGCTATATCCAGATATATTCGGCTATATTTCGCTTAACAAATAAAGAGGCCTCGACCATGATCTGTTCTGTTGTAAAGCACGCAGGAAGCGGCAGAGCACGAAAGAAATGCAAGGGGAAACACGAGAGGTAGTCGAGTATTTCTTATTGTCCCCCCTACTTCGTGACTGAGTGCTCTACCACTTCCTAGATGCTTTACAACAGAACAGAGCACAGTCAAAACTTCTTTATTTGTTTCATTAATGTTCCCACACATGCAGCTAATATTTTCAA